AGGCAAACAATTTTCCTAGAAACTGTTTGGCAAGAAGTGCAAGAAGTGGGTGCAAAGCAAAAGAGGGTTTGTCTGCTCACACAGTCTTTTCCTCTTTGAATTTTCACTTGAAGTGAAAATTTTAAGCAGTATATATCATGAGAGAGAGAGAATTATATATATATATAAGGTTAAAAAAGCAAATCTTTTTCTGTTCCGCCCCCCCTTCCCCCCCATTGCATAGCAGATTGAAATTGGAATGTTGTCACTAAACTGTGACTGCTGGTTAATCAAAAACTGCAAAACAACATGAGTTGTGAAAAAATGATTATCTCACTCAGCTAGGCTAAATTTTGTTTTACCGCAATTGTCTGTTTTAGGTTTAAATTTGGCTACAAGCCTGTCACTTCTTTCCCCGTCACTTGCTGTTTAGTGAATAAACCACAAGGTGAACAATCTGTGTCGTCTTCCAGTTTGTGGTATTTACAATCAGTGGTTTGTGGAATCTAAACCTACTGTAGTCATACACTGTCGTGAGATCCAAGCTGTGCTGCTATAATCCTCCCTTCCCCAGACCCACCCTCCCCTTTTGCTAAATTAAAATTTCCCCCCTTTGCTGCCCTGATTCAGTTCAGTTCACGGAATCCACATGGAAAATGGCTGGGGTATAAACACAGCAGACTGGGCTGAGTGAGTCCCGAACATGTTTTCTATTAGTGAGTTTACCAGTTGTTCCCCCTTGCTTTCCTTATACGGTATGTTCATATTTTGGCTGTACCTCTCTCCATTGAATTCTAGCTCGCTTGCCAACGACAAAGTACAATTTCTTTAACCCACAGTGCCTCGAAAAAAGATTGACCATTTCCCTGGAAAATCAATTTAGTGAGAACTGCAGGTAGAGTCAGAATGATATCTTCAAAATAACGTCCTTGCACATGTGGTCTCCCATAAGAACTGCGGTAAACATTTTTTTATCTTCCTCATAAAGTATTTAAAAGCCGTAAACAACTGTTCCTTGTAGAATTAAGCAGTATTTTTAACTGGAATTCCCACTTAGAAATTCTGAGTGGTTGCATGTGTTATTCATTTTCAAACTGGGGGAGGTATTTTCCTGTCGCACTGAAGATGGAGGTGATGTAAACACAACAGGAAGTGAATAAAAACAGACTCCCCAGCATTCAATACAAACAAACAAACAAAAAAGACCCCTTACAATTTGAAAATTTTAATCTTAAGTATATATATTTTATACTATAGTATAGTAATAGTATGAATACTTATTGAACTTTTAACATTTTCAGACATTGTAATAGTTACAGAGATATTAGATTATTGAGGTTTATTTTATCCCTGTAGATCTCTGCCTTATGCCCTGACGTGCCTTTTCTTGCCAAACCTGCTTTAGTCTCTCATTTGCCTCGTCCTTGTCTATGTTATTTTCACTCCCACTGCAGGGACTACCTGGGCCTGTATCTTTATTCAAAGGGGCGGAATAAATTAATGGGGGAGTGGAGGGATAATTAATGGGGGCATAATTAAGCCGTTAAGATGAAAAATAATGGACTCAATAAGGTGGGCTTTTGTAAACGTAGTGTTTTCATTAATTTACAGACAAAGGGTGAAACATGTTTGTTTACAAATAGCCGATTTTGCGTCACAGGTTCAAAGACTGGAGGTGCACATTGCCTTAAATGAAAAAAACTATCATTTATTAGGATTTTAAATACTATGTTTACTTATTGCTCACATTTAAAAATATGCATATACGTAGTCAGAACGTTCAGCCTTTCTCACATCTGTTTTTGCTGCTGATCCAAAAGAAGGCAAAAAAACACAGTTTAATGCGCTTTTCAATTTTGCTAACTATGAAAAAGTTCCTTCTCAACCCCAGAATGGCAGAGAGATCTCTCCTGCCACATATTAAACATTACATCCCTGAATATTATGTTTTTGCAAGTATTAATCCAGTTGGTGTATACACATATGTACATATGTACAGATTCTGATAAAACCACATCTTCAGGTTGAGAATTTGACATCCTTATTTTAAAAAAAAAACCTTAATTTTGCCTTTAACAAAATCTTCTTTCTTCCAGTCTAAATGCGTAACCTTGTGTCCTATGTTTTGTGTTTACAATGTTTTATTCAATAGCGTAATTTAAAAAAAAAATAGCAGTTTCACTTTAAGATTGACAAGGTATCCTGGGAATTGAAGTTCTACAATAGTTCTGGTTGCCGTTCATTGATATGCATTCCACAACCTATTAAAACATTGATCAAATTAAACTAAACTCACCAGAGACATCTTAATGGGATGCTCTTATATAGTGAATTAATAAATTATTAGTAAGTTTAATGTTTGTTTATATCCTCTAAACACTTTGACATTAACTGTTAGATGCTCGTGTGAGCCACAAAACATATCAAACATTCCTTTATTTATTTATTTATTTATTTATTTATAAATAAATAAATAAATACATTTATAAAATGTATTTATCACAGAATATTTTATCATGAAGAACACAATGGGATTTCTTCCATTTTCAGATATGTCATGGAGAGGACATAGGAATAAACAAATAAAATGCTAAACATTAAATTGGAGACATACAAAGTACAGTTACAGATACATTGTTACACAATACAATTATAAAATGTTTCATTTACTTGCAAAGATGTTAATGTCTTCCTCCTAAAGGTGCACAGTTGTTTTGCTTGAGTACAAAGATTATGGTTGCTTGTAGCACACATCATTATTCTTAACCCCTTAAGGACGGAGGCAATTGTCCAAGATCTGAATCAAAACCAAACCTAGAATTTGAGCTATCTGTCTGCTCAACCATAATTTACCTCTTTCATATTAAAGCGGCACTGTCACCCTACCTGAATAATTTGTATTTCATAAAGATAGAATCTTTATGAAATACTCATATTGAAATTATTGGAATTTCACTGAAATTATACTAATCCTTACTTTGTCTCAGTATATTTCCTTAACCTGACACTTCTAGAACCTGGGCTAAACTATCTCCGTCTCGAAGTGTCAATCCTCCCAGCTGTCACCTGTGACAGCTGGAGGGAATTGGTTTTGTCAGTGGAGGGTGTATACAGGGAATATCTATCAAATTGATGCTTCTAGTGGGATAACATTCTCAGATCTGGGTTAACCATGGGCTAATGAAGCTAAAGCTCTAGGCCCGTGCTACAATGAAAAGCTGTTAATACTTGTCCTTTTGATTTTTTTTTTCCATTAAGTTTATTTTTCTACCTCGGAGTTAGAAACATTGCTCCTCTGCAATTTATTTAGCTACAAAAAAGTGGTTGGGTGTCCTGCCACGTTTTTCTGGTGTCAAGTGGAACTTCTACTTTATCTCAGCAACAGTTGGGCCCAGATATAAGTGATGGGATAGCCTCAGACAAACTGTATCAAAAGACAGTGTGTACCATAACCACTACAATTATATGTAGGTATTATGGTGCTTGGAATGCTCCACTAACGTAGGTATGAAGCCAAGAAAAATACAAAACTCCAGGCCCTTGACGACGTAAGGTGCCTTTTCAATAAGCATATATTATCTCAAGCTAGTTCTATGAACTTAGGGATAAACCCAGAAAAGATTTGCGGGCTTATGCAACAGCTTGCGAGCACAGGTGATATAGACACAGCTTTCCTCCACACTAAACATCACCACAAATTCAGTTTGTGCTTTTAGATCAAGAATGGCCAGACTAGATGGACCAGGTGACCTTTATTTCCCGACAATATTTATGTTGCTTATATCTTTTTAACATGCCTTTCTATTTCGAATGGAATATGTGTATAGGATCTGTCTGTGTGCCGCACACGGAGACAGCAAACTCAATAATATTCCCAGCACAGATATTTGTCATGCAGATATTTTTATTTTATTAATATACGGGCTTTTGTTTTTCCCAATGACATTTGCGGCAATATATCACTGGGAAATCAAATAATCCAACGCCTGTGGCAATGACCAAGACACGGCAGCGTGTAGGGACCCTTCGATAATATTGCATGAAATATATAGCACAGGGCGGGGGGAGGGTGGGGGCAATAGGGACTGTCTGTTGGATTGTGGCGGCATAGCTACAAAATAGCAACAGCGATTAACCCCCTTGGGTATTAAATGACTTAATAAATGTGTCCATCAAGTCTTTCATTGTATTACAATCTGTGAAAGCATGAAATGTATTCTTATCCGGTACGAATGTATGTTATTTACAAATACCTGTAGTGAAGAGTGGGGGGACAGATATATAATCATAGGAGGTAGTTTAGAACAGGGATAGGCAACCTTCAGCACTTCAGATGTAATGGACTGCATCTCCCATGATGCTTTGCCAGCACCATGGCTGCAAGAGCATTATGGTAGATGCAGTCCATTACATCTGTAGTGCTGAAGGTTGCCGATTCCTGTTCTAGATTCTAGATAATACAGAGATTTCTGTGGTAGGTTCGAGTGGTGAAGGCATTACAACTCTGACCAGAGGGACAGTCCATATTTTAATTTAACATTTGTATGTAGGCCATAGCCATTGTGCAACTGTTCAGAGACATCTCTTAGAACCCTGATACCAGTTAAGTGCTTTGACAAAGATTGCTGTTACACCTGGACAAAACAACACCTTTTTAAACAAATAACACAACACACATTGGCATATTTTTTTACTTCTGCTGCAGCAACAAAATCACCCAGCCTATAGCTGCTCTCTGATTGTGTCACCTGGGTACAGGGTATAATTAATGTGACCTGAAAAATCTATGAATGGAGCAAACCGTGATCTGAATTAATATTGATTTATGTGCCTCATTTAGAAGTCAGGGGTGAGGAGTTACAAATGGGAAGATGGAAGGAATATGTGCTTCAAGGGTCACTGATATTTCTCAGTTTTTTTTTTAATATCATATATACTTATCCCTGTATTAAACTAAATGGTATTGTGAGGCGCGGAAAATAAAATGAAACATCAAAAATCAACACATTTGTATCCTGAAACTGGGTGCTTAAATCTTGGTTTGTTGTCAGTCGTTGTTCTAAGCTCTGTCCTTTGACATTGTCAAAGAAGAGGACACATGAAACTATATTGGTATTTTTCCTCCTCACTTGTCCTGTTTAAGATCTGTTTGACAACTTACCTGGGATCTACTGGGATAGAGACTGTAGTAGGGGATAGGGGCAGTAGTGTGTGTGTGAGGGGTGAAGTGTGTGTGTGTGTGAGGGCTGCAGTATGTGAGGGTTGCCGTGTGTGAGCATGTGAGGAGTGCAGTATGTGTACAGGGTTGCATTGTGTTTGTGAAGGATGGTGTGTGTGTGTGTGTGTGGAGTGCAGTTTGTGCATGAGGGATACAGTGTGTGTGGGGGCACAGTATGTGGGGGGTACAGTGTGTGTGGGTACAGTGTGTGTGTGGGTACAGTGTGTGTATGGGGAGGCAGTGTGTGTGTATGAGGAGAGTTATTGTGGCTCTGTGAGGGTAGGAGGGGAGATTAATAAATATTTAAGTGTTTTTTTTTTTTTTTAAATAAAAATTATACAAATATGGCATATCCCCCCTCCCTTCTTACCTTTGCCTGTGAGGGGGGACAGTACTAATCCCTGGTGGTCTGGAGGAGAATCCCTAGTGGTAAGTGAACCCTAGCCTGTGGTAACCATGTCAACGTTCCGAGCTCGCGAGAGGAGAACCCAGCAGAGCTGCAGATTAAAGCCCCCTCGGGTCCTCTGTCCCTCCCCTGCCGCTGCAGCATTACACAGATAGTCGGCCGGTGAGGGAGATCTCTGGTCCAGCAGAGCCGTCAGTTGCCATCAGATCCATCACGGTTCCCGGTGCTATGATTATATGATCATAGCACCAGGGAAATATTTTGTGGTGCCCCTGTGTTCCCCCACGCCGCGGCACACAGTCTGGGAACCGCTGGTTTTATACATTATACGATATATGATATAATGATATATGATATAATTTGCTAAAAATATAAATTTTAAAGAAAATGAAGCATCACTTGATCAAGTTAACACTTGTTATAGGTGAGTTTCATTGTTCTCCTTTTAGTATCAATTAGTATACTCTTTAGATGGATTGAAAGAAAAGAAAATATCAGAGTAAAGTTATAAAGCATCAAAGGGTCCCTCAGATCCAATATACTCATCTGGCAGGCAGATTGGGCTCTTCTGTCCAGTCTTGTGAGCACATGAAGCTTTCTGTTTTAGGCCCGTGTTCAGGTAAATGTAATTTAAGTAGTTAATGTCACATGTTTGTTCTACACTGACACACCAGCAAGAACTCAAAGGATCCCATTTATATTAGTCAGTGCCAAGGATACAATGTAGCTGTCGTGTTCCTTTCAACATCTCTGTTATATTAACACGGCCCAGTTAAAGTCCTTCCGTCCTTCCTTAGCACAATAGTAATCTGATGCATTGTCTTCGCAAAACTCCAAATTGTAACACAGTAAATGTCAGTCATGCTGTGTAAGGCGCAATACCATTATGCAGTACATAAAGCCCCTGCTTCAATGTGAATAGAATTAATGTATTTGATTGACTTCTGATGGAAACTGAGTTGCGGTTTAATGGAAGTCAAACTAACTGTGATTTGGACAATGATTCACGTTGTATCCCCAGTAACATTTTCCTGCCTCAGTTTTAAGTTGTACTTGGTGGACTGCTCCGTACCTCTGATCCTAAGTCTTAGGTCTACTGTAAAGTTACAAGTTGCCAAAATTTGATACGATTTCTCACTGGCATTCAGGTTTAGTAATTATGGAAGCTTGCAACAATGAGAATGTCTTGCCTCTTCATAAAAAGCCATAGCAGGAATAGCTATACGTGACAAATACAATTTAGACAATCAACCTGGTTCTGTTCCTGTTCTATATTTTAGTGGACAGCGGTCAGCCTGAGGTCAGGGCAGGATGAGCACAAAGCTGAGGTTAGGAGAACAAGTCAATGTCTGGAGAAGAAAATAACAGTACAATGCGTGATTAGACAATTCAGGTTCAAAATCAAGATGTATAAACATCAGATGAGCCATTAAAAAGCTGCTGATTTGGCCCCATTGTGGCAGTGTTAGATGGATCCTTTATTCTGGTGCCGGGTGAGACAGGCTTCAGGGACTAGAAAACACCATAGCATATTTTACTATGTGGAAATTCTAACTTTTTTCTCATTTACAGCTTCTATAGCTATTCGATTGGAGAGTACAGATACTGTGATATAAACTCTTTGCAACGCAATAATGTCTTGCCTTGGCAGGTTCAGATTGAGAGACATAGTCTACATGAGTAGATGCTTGCTGAGTATCGTACACATCTAGTAGTAATACTGAATAATATCCATGCAGCTCTTTCATTTGTTGCAGAGTCAGATAAAGGTTTGCCGACCTCAAAGATGCTCGGTAATTAGAATGTTCATGTATACAGTGACCCGGTTTCAAATCAGGAGGGAGGCGTTTGTTCTGTATCTTCTGTATCGCTGCAAAACAAAGATATTCAATTGGTCTCACAGCAGAGGACACATTTAATGTTTAATCATCAACCTTTCACGGTCACACAACACAGGAAACATTTAATGGGGATCTATCGACAGGCCACGTACCAATTAGTGTAATCTAATTGAAACGTTGATGTCACAGATCTGAGGAGGCCAATCTGAACTTCGTTTCCAAAATAATTCTGGCAAATGTACCCGCCCAACCAAATACAATGAGATTTTAGTAGATTTCTGGACTATTGTTGTTTGTGGTCAAAACACAGGCCTCAATGGGATCTTGTTTCTCTAACACAAGAGTGTTTATGGAATTGGTCAAAAGTAACCAGATGGAGGAATGCTTGCAAAATCTGTCTACACAGTATAGAAATAATGAATGTGCAAGTTAACCATCCACTAATTTATAATATAATAATTATACCGCAAGTTAATTCACCAATGTGTGATTTTTAAGGAATTCAAAGTAAAAGCAAGATTAATTTAAAATTTAAGGCTCAAATAGCAAAATTGGAAAAATAACCAACTCAGTCTATGTTTTAAAGAAAACATTGATTTTGGTTAGAGTAATCCGTCCTATCCATCCATCAAAAAATAAACATTAAAAAAATAGCTAAAACTCACCTTCCTTTCCAGTGCCAACATCAAGTTCCCCCCTGCCAAATCCCCTCTCATTATTAGCAGAAAACCACTACATATATATATATATGAGATGCATGAGATTTGAGCGTGCCGGACATTTTAAGACTTTTAGAGAGAAAAAAAAGGACTTGATATCAATTTCTCTCTAACACAGGCTCTATCCTGGGAGGGATCTGGAAGCCGTCAAATGTGCAGTAAGCCAGATGATTGCAATTTGAGTAATCTGGATCTAAAAATATAATTTTATGGGAAATCTTCACTTGAAAGGACGAGGCTGCATTGATGTTACAATTTCAATAGAATAGCCCGAAATAAGGCCAAGAAAGAAAACTTTCACTTTGTAACACAAGACAAATATCTATATTTTTTTAAAGTTACTCAGTTCACAAACAGTAGCAGTAAAATGGCTATAGGAGTCTGTAGGAATACGTATTTTCTTGCACTGTTAACTTTGTTTTGTACATTACTGGAGTTACTTAGGTAGTATGAGGTGTATGCAAACTATATGTAGAATGCTTATCAATGAAAAGTCTGATTATACATATTTTAAAATGTTTAATGGTTCTGCAGCTTTTAGAATCTTTTTTAAATTCTTTATTTTTGTCGTGCAAGAATTTACAACAGTGTCTGTGTAGCCACAACAGCTGTAACAGACGCAGTCAAATATAACATATTAAAACATTTTCGTGGCGTAAGTTAACTCAGCACGTTTGTAATTTAGTGAACAGGATTAGGTCAAAGAGTATGTAAGGCATTCAATTAAACATTGCTAGTGTGTCTTCGAGTTAGGTGTAAGGACTGGTCTAGTGAAGGAGGTATGCCTACATTGCCATGTCATAGATAGGTCTGGCTACCGAAAAGCCTATGTGTCGCAGCGATTAGCAGCATCATATTGGGCTAACCCTTACGGTTAATCTGCTTTGTGAACACATTTTTGTCATGCTTATTTTGTAAGGTTTCATCGCATTAATATCTGTCACATTACCCTCCAGCATACACCAAACCCTATGCACTTATTCACGTTGGGTCAAGTCGCTTATGTTAAGTAGGGTCATCGCACATTTTGCAGCATTATATTAGGAATTCACTTGGTGTCCTAAACTGAGTGCGAAATGTATAAGATTATAGCGAAAACAGACATATGTATAGACGCTTTTAAGTGATAGTATCTTAGCTAGGGTAAAGATAAATCAATCTAGGAAATCTCAGGTCGTCATAGGCAGCTTAAGGAGTCCCAAAGTGGTGACCTTTCTGGTTACCCGGTTTCAGTCCAGCATGGATGGGAGTCCAGTAGTCAGGGTTTCATCCGATACCCGTTGTTGGTCTGCTCAGTGAGCCAGCATATAGCCTGGTGGGTTTGTTTAATCGATACCCAATGCTTGCAGTGTGCTTGCTCTGAAGGTTGTCGCACAGGATAAGCGTGGATGCAGCTGCAGCTACTGTAGTGTCCTCCAGGAGGGATAGGGTGGGCCTCAGGTGCTTTCCTCAGGCACAAAGGGGTTTTTCCACCAAATACATATGCTGCGAACATCACCTTGTTTAGCCCAGTGTAGTGAGCCGACACATCCCTGGAGATGATTACTGTGGTGGTCAGATGGCGCTGGATGGTTTCGTCTGTGTGCTAGTTCCATCCTGTGGGTAGTTTGCACTCGTGGCTGGTGTGCGGCGGCCATCTTGGGAGGGTGCTGCTGGTGAGTGTTTCCCAGCGGGGTGATTGTTTTCTGCCCAGCTTGGCGTAATAGTAGTTGATTATGTGGACCGGGATGACCCCCCCGATCCAGAGGGGGGGGGGAGGGCCGGACACCAACCGGAGACTCGGGAGAGCGGCCGTCTCATCCCGGCTCAAGCTCCAACATGCCTCGGGTCGTTGTCGGGTTACTGTAGGCACCGGACAGGATCGTGAGGGGTTTCTCCTCGTGCCCCAGGATCTGGGGCTCCGTTTAGTCTCCATTGCGGGTTGCTGGGAAGATTTTGCCCCCAGTTTGCGCCGATTTACCGGCCCCAAAGCGGGAGCTCAGACAGAGCACGTCTGATCCCGTCGGCGGTCCGGCCCCGCCCCCCCTAGAATCTTTTTAATAGCACATTTCCACATATCT